ACATCCTCCATCCTCATGGGTATTAGTTCTGCTGGAGTTGCCCAGTTATCTCCCGGTTGGCTGCTGTTCATGCTCCAGTAGATTCTTCAAAGGCAGAGCAGATGCCTCTGGGTGTAGAATCCCTGCAGCCCTGGGGAGCACCCGCCTCGTATTGTGACCTGGCATCCAAAGGGAGGTGACTGGATGTAAAGCCCTTGGTTCATGTTTCCTTCACACTTTTGAAAATAATCTTCTACCATTACCTTGATGTATGTTATTTTGGAGAAATCTGAGGCCCTTGTACATTATTTCACCTTTTTGACCTGAAACTCTGGTCATTTTTTCCTTGTGTGTTTTTTTGTTTGTTTGTTTGTTTTTTGAGATGGAGTCTCACTCTGTCTCCCAGGCTGGAGTGCAGTGGCACCATCTCGGCTCACTGCAAGCTCCGCCTCCCAGGTTCACGCCGTTCTCCTGCCTCAGCCTCCCAAGTAGCTGGGATTACAGGCACCTGCCACCACACCTGGCTTATTTTTTGTATATTTAGTAGAGACGGGGTTTCACCGTGTTAGCCAGGATGGTCTTGAACTCCTGACCTCATGATCCGCCCGCCTCGGCCTCCCAAAGTGCTGGGATTACAGGTGTGAGCCACTGTGCCCGGCCCTTTCCTTGTGTTTTAAGTCTAACACTTCTACTAGGATAAACCGCAGAGTTGATTGTTCCAGGTCAAGTTCCTCTGTGTGTGCGGCTCAGGTCTTCCTCTGCTTTCAGAAAGACTTGTTGGGTTATAGTTTTAAATATTAGTTCTGTTTTATTTTTTCTTTATCTCCAGCTACATACAAATTGGATTTTCTTTGTCTTCTATTTCCACTACTTTCTGGTTCATATTGATTTTTTATTTATCTGATTTTCCTTCTTTGAGTTGCTTGTTTTTGCTTTTATCCAATGACCTTTATTACGTTTTTATCTGAATCTGTTCTCTCTTGGGCATGTTGTAATTATTCCTCACTTTCTATGGTTTTGTAGTTTTCTTGGGTTTATTTTGTAATTTCTGTTCCCTTGCTTGCTTTCTTCCGGATGGTTGGTCTATGTTTCTTCTTAGTTTGTGAATTTCGGATTCATAGTACCTTGTCACATCTTCTTATGCTTGTTTAAAGACATTTAAGTCCGTTTGGAAGATTCTGTTGTGTTTTTTTCACTCATTGCTGGTGTCCCAGGGAGATTTCCACCCAGGTGGTTTTCACTTTGTTTTGTTTTACATTTATGAAGACGGTGTCTTTGCATCTCTGTGGGCAGGGCTGGTTGTAGAAAATGGTTGACATCTGGGTCCTGGGTCACGGGCACCGCTCCAGTCAGCATGGTCCTTGCATGGAGTCCTGTGTAAGGGGAAGGGTTATGTGGCCGTCATTAGTTTTTCACAATTTCCTTTTCCTGGTGGGATCCTAGAGTTTCTCTCTAACATCCCTTCCATTATACCACATGGTTTCCAAAGGGCACTTCCCTTTCCATCCTCCCTCCCCCAGACTCTTGTCTTGGCAAAGCCACCTTCTTGAGCGCGTGAGTGTGCCCAGCCCCTTCCTGTAGCCAGTGCCCCGATCTATGTACCGTTTTCCAGTATTTTCACCCTCAAGTGGACTTTCTCTTGGGCAGTGATTTTAGATCAGTTCTAGGTTCCCTTTTCTCTTTCACATGCATTCTCTCCAAGCTGCCCTGTCTCTGCCAAGGTCTGCGGCGGGGTCTGGGCCCAATTCACTGTCTGCACCGTCTGTGTGTGTACAGCAGCCATGTGGGGCTCCTCTCCCAGCTTTGTGGGCCGTGTGGCTCCGGGGGCTATTCTCTAGCCTTTTGTTCTCTGTTTCTGTCTTGGAGGACACCTTGGGAGTTTCCCCGTCTCGCCAGCACTGTTGGGGCACCTTCCGCTGCTGCAGCTGACACTTGACATTAGTTTCATTGGCTGTGTTAATGCTTCAGAAAAATCTGGGGAATTCACAGTTTTACAGCACTGAGTCTTCCAACTCTTGAATATTCCCTCACTAACCTTTGTATAGCACTCAGTGTAGAGGTTTTACTCCTGGGGGTTTGTGTTTTGGATGCTACTGAGAGCCGAGTCGCTTTGCACTTCATGTTCGCGTTAGTGTTGCTGGCATGTGGAAACACAGTCTGTTTTCGTGTCATTGATTTTTTATCCATTGGCCCTGCTAGACTCATACTAATTTTTATGGTCTGTAAATTATTTTGTATTTTCTACATATATAATATCCATAATTATTGTAATTTTGGTTTTTCCTTTACAATCATAATATTCTAGTTATTAAGTTAGATGGGTACATTGGTGTTTTTTATGTTCTCATTTAAGCCATTTAAATGCCTGAGATGTTTCTCATAAAGTAAAATTTTAATTGATCAAGAAAGTTTTTGGTGATGATATATTTTTCTGTAAGTCACATTTCTCATAAGAAAGTAAAAACTGCTCCATTCACTTGGAGCTGTCTTCAAATTTGGCCCTAAGAATGGTTCTAGGCCGGGCGTGGTGGCTCAAACCTGTAATCCCAGCACTTTGGGAGGCCGAGACGGGCGGATCACGAGGTCAGGAGATCGAGACCATCCTGGCTGACACGGTGAAACCCCGTCTCTACTAAAAAATACAAAAAACTAGCTGGGTGAGGTGGCGGCGCCTGTAGTCCCAGCTACTCAGGAGGCTGAGGCAGGAGAATGGCGTAAACCCGGGAGGCGGAGCTTGCAGTGAGCTGAGATCGGCCACTGCACTCCAGCCTGGGCGACAGAGCGAGACTCCGTCTCAAAAAAAAAAAAAAAAAAAAAAATGGTTCTGAATGATTTTGTTGTGGACAATGGTAACATTTCTGTTCTTCTAGTAAATGTTAGAGTTGGCCAGACATTTCTCCATGCTCCTCCTTTCCAGTGTTTAAAAATATCCCTTAACATTTTCTGTAGTTTAGGAGTGTCTATGGAGGAAGTTTAAATGCTGTCTTCTTGGATTCTGGAGACCTCTGGGAACCTGTGGCAGCTTCACTGTGTCTGTGTCTGTCTTGCAGTGAAACCTGCAAGGAGAACATAGAGGAGTCAGGCGTGGCTGTGAACCAGCAGTTTTCAGTGAGCCTGGCAAATCTATCGTGAATCCCCTGAATGAAGCGGGGAGTTTGCACTCACATGACAATGTAGAAGGCCACTCTTCCCCGCAGCTGAGCAGTAGCAGCTTCCAAACCAACGCTGACCAAAGACATATTAGTATTTCATCACCTTTCTCCACACATATGCATCCACTGAGCTACATTTACTTATTCTCAGCACTCTACATACATTGCTGACGTTAAACTCTTAATAAAAGGCATGCATTCTGCAAAGTTATGCTTAAAAACGTCAAGGTTTGACCTTGAATGACCACACGCTCTGCATTTCCCGGGAGTGCTCCTGGCCTCCCGGGACTTGGGTGTTTGTGCTGTCAGAGACGGACGGTCAGACAGTGATTAACGTGGCTGCTCTCCACCACCTCAGAGACGTCCCAGGCTGGCCCCTCACACTCCCCATAAGACGTGCTCCTGGTGCCTGCTCTCTAGTATTCCGAAATCAAGCTTTAATAGACTTGGAAAATCTGTGTTATATCTTCCTTGTTACCAAAAAGAAGTAGAAGCTTAACTAAGTAAAGCAGTGGATTGTTGAGGTTAAATTTGGCAAATGATCCAGTTCCTTCACTGTCTTACTGTTTATATTTTAATTTTTATTCCTTTGTATCTCAGTATATGCACTAAATATAGCGGACATACTATTGATAATGTAAGAGGAAATGTTTAAGACAATTTTAAGTTTAATCTGAAATAAAACATTTAAGCCATAATTTTAAGCTTAATCTGAAATAAAATGCTTAATTTTGTTAACTGTGATAACATTTTTTTCTGTTAAGTGAGGAACTTTTAGTTGCATAAAAAAATAGGAATAGCTATACATTCAGCACCTTGGCCCTTTCTTCCAAATCTACATGGTGGCAGAATTGGCAGCATCTGAACGGTAGAAATGGCTTTATTTCTCCCTGTGGATTCAGGGTATTTCTGGTTCAAATCAGATTCTCTAGGGTCTATAAATCAGAAATCCACCTGAAAGTGAAGTCCATCATAAAATCGCAAAGATGCAGCAAAAATGTAAACAATGCCCTTATTTGGGAAATATGGAAACCAGCCAGAGAGGAGGCGGTGGCAGCCGGGGCCAGGCTCTCTGCCCCATCCCAGCTGTCTCTGCATTTCTCCTAGAGATGCTCATTTATCTCCAGCACACACTCAGTTTTATAAAGCCATTCATAGCAGGAATGAGTGCGCAAACATCCCGGGAACTGGGGGTCGCCAGGGCAAGGATCACACCTGTCACCTGTGGGAAGAGAGAGTGGGCAGTTCAGGTTGGAAGAAACCTCTAGGGACAGGTATTGACTGAGCGCTCACTCTCAGATCATCCCACTGATTAAAGTTTAGAGAGTATTGCATTGCATTGGATTCCCAACTCGGTTTCAAATCAGTTTTTTTTTTTTTAGTTATAAAAGTCAATAAAGAAGGACAAAGCAAACACAAGGAACACAAGGTAGCTTTCTAAAATAATAATAATTAAAATAAAAATCTGAATGAAAGTCATTTTTTATTGATGTATTACATAGACTACTATATTTTATTAATACTTAACAATCCCCCTCACTTAGTTGCCCACAAGGCATGTAACACTGCATTCTGTGCAGCATTTGTTATTATTTATTATTTATTTAGCAGTATTTATTCGTACTCCGACATTTAGAAGCACAATCTGCCACTCATTTCTGCTGACGCTGTGATCTCGGGCTGGCAGATGGCCACCTTCAGAGTCTGCTGCCTGCCTTCTCTGTGGTCCCCATGTGGACCAAAGGACCCATCAAGGGTGTTACTGGGCCTGGCATTTGGGTGGTGGCCCCGCCAGGCCTGGCATGTCCCTGCAGGTGGAGCTGGGTAATCCTGGCCCTGCCCAGCATCACACGGTGTCTTTTCCCCCAGGACGAGCGACGTGGGCGTGCTTTCCCACCGCGAGCACCTGCCAGTCACACAGATCGTCATCACCGACGCGGACCGCCCGGGCTCGGAGGCAGCTTACAAGCTGGGACCACTGCAGTGCCAGGGAGACGGTAGGTAGCGCCCACACCTCTCTCCTGACAGCGCCTGTCCGCGCAAAGACCGCCTCCATGGGGGGGTTGATGGAAAACGAGGAGTTATGCGCCTTTTTAAAATTAGGGAAGTGACGCACGCCGCGTGGCTGTTACTCAGTGGTTGGTCTAAGGCGTTACCGGGAGAGGCAAGGGGAGCCCTGAGAAGCCTCCCCATCAGCTGGAAACATCCCAGGCATCAGCTAAGGGAAACGCCCCTGCGAGTGTGTGCAGCACGTCCTGCGAGAGAAGCTTCCGCAGACTCCACGGGCGTCATCTGTCCACAGACCCAGCCTCCTGTCTCCATCGCTTGGTCAGGGAACTGGGGCCTGAAACCAGTCATGCATTCGGCTTCTCACTACCAGGATGGCGGGATCAGAACATTGGCTGGAAATAAGCTAACCAAGTGCATTTCGCTTTTTCACTTCTTGATTTCTGCAACTCTAGCGCTCTCTCGCGCTCTCTCGCTCTCTCGCTCGCTCTCTCTCTCTCCCTCTTTTGTAACAGTGGCTCCTGTGATTTCATCTTCTCACAATATTTGCAACCTAAAGCAATATTTTTAAATGTAATTGCAGCTTTCATGGTAACTATGCATTTGCAGCAGGACCTTCCCAGGTGGAGACCAGTCCCCAGTCCCTGTGAGCACCTCCCCACAGTGAGGCAGTGCACGCCCGACCTCACTTCCCTCTGAGACGTCTGGTGACTTCGGACGCACCTCAGTGGCTTCACCACCCACATTTTTTTTTAACCTTTCTCAGACATTTTATGGTCCAAGTTCTTAACTGGAACTTAAAAACAGAGCAATTATTTGTTCTAAATTAAAACCTTAGCACACATTTGTGATGTGTTGTTGTAGGATTGTAGGAGTTTGGAAGAACAGATGTGATCGATGATCATACAAGCACCACCACGCACCTGCCTGTCATAGGCGCTCCTTGATGGCTGCTCTCTCCTGCTCTGTGCCCTCAGCCCCTGCCTCTGGCTCCATCCTCGCACCTCAGTGACCCCTCAGTCTGCCCTGTGTTGATCATAGATTCTTTTCCCCCAAGATTTTCACTAGTTTCTCTCTGATTGCCTGGCTCAGAGCAGTCCTCCACTGCTCCAAGCTCAGCATGATTCGTGAGAGCACTGGGGTCTCTTCTGTTCACATCTCTATTAGGTTTTCAGTCTGTGGGTCCTGGCAGGGAGGATGCCTGTGCTGGGTAAGCGGGAACTGGCCACGAGAAGCAGCCCACGGCCATCAGAACAGGCCCAGATGTCAGCCTGGAAATCAGGCGGGAGCCACACAGGGTTTCGGGCAGCCCCTGAAAGCTGCTTTGTTGGTCATCCGCTGTGCTTTTGCATTTTTACGAATCGCTCTTTGTTTGGTCAGTGTTTCGGGGAGATAAGTTCTGTGAACCGGCTCCATCACGGCACCTTCCTTCCCCAGAGGTGTGTACGCCGCGCCAACCTTTCACAAGCGGGAGAGAGACTCTTTATTTTCATGTTCAGTTTGATGATTAACCTGAAAAGCCATTATAAATCTTTGACATTTGAATTCTGATCATTTTAAATTTAATGTAAACATCGGCCCTGCTGCTACCTGGCATTGGAAAACCTTCCTCTAAGTGTCCTGTGGGAGGAAAAACCATGGCTGAGCTGCTGGAATTGGCTCTTTCATTTCTTCTGCGTGACTGGAGCAGCTGTCTGGGAAATCCTAGCTGCCCAGAGAGCATGAATATTCAGGGCGTGCAGCCGTGCAGCCCGGAGGAGGCCGCCCCTCAGAAAACGTTGTCCTTGATTCTCTCCCCTCGGGCACTGCTGTGCCTAAACCACTTTGGGCGAAGGGGATCAACCCTGCCCTCACAAAAAGGTTTTGGGGCTGCACCGGGGCCACCTGCCCAGGGCCAGGAATCCATCCCAGTCTGAAATTCTGAGTCCCTCGCTCTGCTTGGAACTGTTCTCTTTTGGTCACCTGCCTGCCCGCTCCTCTTCTTTCCTCCCTGCCTCCCTCTCTCCATTTGATCCGCGAAGCACAGGAGGGTTTGTTGGAGGGCACATTATAAAACCAAACGAAAGGCATATTCTGAATTCTCTGTGGCTGAAGAAAACAGGAAACGTTGCCAAGTCCTTTAGTGAAGCAATATGTGAGTGGCTCCAGTGATGCAACAGGGAGGCCATGGTGGCACCACTCTCCTGGGGGCCACAGTGAGGAAGAGAACAGATGCACCCCACACCCACGGGACGGTGCCAGGGACCGGGGAGGAGGGAAGGGCAGGGGCAAGGGGGGGCTCCACAGAAGGCTGCGTCCGGGAGAAGGCCTGGATTGAGGAGGACGGGGGGGTCCAGCATCCAGCACACGAGGAAGAGAGTCCTGCTCAGCAGGAACCAAGCATGTGGGGCCTGGCTGAGGGTTGCTGTGACCCAGTCTGAGCCTGAAGCAGCTTCAACAGAGGCCGGATGGTACAGATCGAACTGGGGCTGGATCCGAAGATAAAAGCAGAAAGATTGAATGGGCAGTGGATGTGATTTATGAGTCCGGCAGCCTTGAGGGTTGGGTCTGAGTGGCAGAGCCTGGGACCTGTGTGCAGAGCTCAGGTGTGAGCTGCTCCAAAGCCCAAGATGGGCATGGGCAGAGCAGAGAGGAGGGTGTTGGACTCGGGAGGCTGGAGGGGGAGGCAACAGAGGGCAGTGGGTATCTGGGGAAGGGAAGGACCAAGGGCAGAGCCCTCCAGGGCAGAGGGCAGTGGGCGTGTGGGACGGGCCAGAAGTTCTGAGCAGCGGTGCTTTGAGGAGGACCCCAGCAGGCCTCAGGGCAGGGAGAGAGTGTGCCCAGTTGCACCGGTGCCACCGGGCCACATTGCAGGACAGAGGTGCCCCTGGACCTGTCGGCGAGGGGCCTGCAGCAGCCCAAGGAATCCACAGGAACATTGAACAGAGGCCCGGGGCTCCCTCCACGCCACGTCCTGCACCGGTCACACGGGAGCACAGACGGAAATTTGGGTCCAGAGTTGCTTCTTTCCACTCCTTTGTGACCGGCTGATTCTTGGTGGCTGTGAGAATGAACAGCGGCGGAACAGAGGAGCAGCCCGGTGTGTGCTGCTCTGCTGCAGGTGATGGACGCAGGCCTGTGCCTCCGGAATCCGTGTCGAGCTGCTGATGTCAGAAACGCCACCCTCTAACCTGGAGGCAAAGGTATGCACAGAAGACCCGGCCGTGTGTCTGCTGAGCTGGCTCCTCAGTGCTGCCGTCAGGGATGACTTCTGAGAGTGATGATCCCTCCCTGTCGGCCTGACAATTTCATGCTGCACGTGTCTCCGGATGAGGGTGGCTTTTCTATGCACATGTTCGTGAATAGCTTTGTTCTCTTTCCAGCTGTTCTACCAACCAAAAACTGTAATTATATCCAGCATATTGCATGATTTTCATTTTGTTTTGCTTTATATTTGATTCCTATCATTTTCCCCAACATTAGGAAACAGCATTACAAATTTCAAAAGAGGAACCATTGAAGTCTAAAATCAAGAGTATCTATGCTCTCAACAGGGAAATTATAACCACTCCTGGTGTTTTCTTTTTGTTAAAAAGCCAGGCTTACCAGTTCATTTTTGTAAATAATCAGAAAGGCAAATTTGAAAAGAAAAAGTTACTACCTCAGCAATTTTATAATTTCTATTCGTAGTTTTAAGAAACATATGGTTACGTTGTGTGTGTCTTTGATCTTGGAAGTAAGCATCCTTGCTTTATAAAGCCACCTGCCTTTTAACAAGTTTTCTCTTCCTTTTAAAAAATAATTAATTTATTATTTGGAAGGTTTATTTGTAGATCAAATAGAAATTTAAAAAAGAAAATATTTATGAAATAAACCTTAATCCCATAGGGCTAATAAAACTTATTTTCCCGAATGGGCAATGTCTATCAGAGAAAAACATTGAAGGCAGGTCTCTTGTTTCATTTTAACTTTGTGAGTGGAGGTTCACCAAGTTATGTACAATATGTACACAACACATCCACCCTTCGTGTAAAAGGTGAACACCATCTGTGTGTCATCCACACTACACATGCACAGACATCATCCACACTGTACGTGCACAGTCCCTGGGTGCCCCGTCTTAGACCCTGTGTCTGCCGAGTTTATTTCCACATCTCCACTATGCAGCTTCCACCCACCTCTGCTGTGGAATTCGCACTTGGGTTCTGTAACCCTTTGCATCTCACACACACACACACACACACACACACACACACACACACAAGTGAATGCAACTTCCACCCCGCTCTCTGCTGTGGAAATTGTATTTGGATTTTGTAACCCTTTGGGTCACACACACACACACACACACACACACAAAGTGAATGCAGCTTCCACCCCGTCTCTGGTATGGAAATTGTGTTTGGGTTCTGTAACCCTTTGCATTTCACACACACAGGAAGTCACCTTGGAGCAGGGCTGTCACCAAGTCCCTGCTGCGCGGAGGCTCCTGTGGTTGTGCCGAGCCCTTCCTGGTGGGTGACTCGGGCCCACTGTGCTTCCACCTGAGCCCTGTATAGCACAAGAGGCCATGGCTCCTGCCAGGAACACCCTGGAGCCACTCCCCAGAGAGCCTCTGGCACCCTCTCCTGCCCACCTGTACGCTGGGCAGAGGACCCCAGGGCTCCAGCTGTGTGTGGAGCGGCGTGGGGGCAGCCGCATTTGCTTTTCCGGTTCCCAGCTGACCAACTTCCTGTGAGGTTCAGCCCCTCAGGGAGCCGAAGGTTCAGTCCTGGAGTGGCCCTTGTGTAAACGGGCAGCGTGTGGAGCAGATTCTCATCCACTGGACTAAACGAGCCCCCCGCTCACAAAGCTAAAATGAAATAAGAGACATCCTTTCACGATTTCCTCTACTTTGGGATTTTAAGGAACTCAGACACTCCTGACAGTGGCCAGGGTGGGAATAGGCCTGATTTTCTGTCTTTCCTGCCATCTTAAATCACATATTTTTTTTTTCTGCAATTGTTCAACTAAAAGCACTGTGATGATCTCAAGGTATCTCCAGGGACTCGCCTGAGACTACAAACGTGGGGTTTCCCGGCGGGTGCCTGGCATCGCCTTAATTCACATCCCAGCCGGGTGCCAGGCATCACCTTAATTCACATTCACTATGGCCAAGCCCAGGAACAACAGTAACACAGAAGTTAAGAAATGTGCTTGTAGCTTCATTTAACCAGAGAATGCTCCAGAGAAAAATGAAACATCTTCAGAAAGAATTCTCAACGGAAACCCAGCAAACGGGCAGCTGGCTGCATGTGAGCTGCCAAAAACCTGAGCACGGACTCCTTAATATGAGTTCCTCCAGGTGAAGCTGAGAGGTGGATGAGCGGAGCATCATCCTCGGCCCCAGATGGGACCGAACGTGGATCTGCGCCTGCTCAGAGCAGAGGCGAGTGGGGTCTCCCTCCCCGTGGTAACAGAGGGAACGGATAGTGGGATGTGGCTGTTTTTCTGACACTCTGCATGAACTCATTCTCCAGGAAAAGTAATTTAGGTGTGAGGATGTTATGAAGTCTGGGGAGTGACGAGGAATGGGCTGTTCGCATAACGATCTATGCTTACGATGGATGCCCCAGAACTTTCGAGGCAACACCAGCAGCTTTGGAGTCCAGGACAGCATAGCCAGTACCTGGCTGAGCCTTCAGGGTCATGCACAGCCGCTGGGTCCCACTTCACCAGCACGCCACACCACAGGCCTTCCACGAAAGCCAGCGTCAAGCTAAATCCAGAGAAGCTCACAGCATTGCCTCAGAACAGCAACTGTGGACAACCAGATAATATAGAGGGAATGAAAGTCCAGATAAAAACCATGAATGGACAGTCATTTAAATCTACTACATATGACAGGATTATATTACATGCCTTTGGAATTCCATTTCCATTAATGTGCTAATCACTGGGGAAGATACTTTTATCAACTTGAGCACTGTTAAAATGTTTTAAGCCATTTATTTTGCATTGATCATAAGTGATATGAAATTACACTAACAGGCTGGGCGCGGTGGCTCAGGCCTGTAATCCCAGCACTTTGGGAGGCCAAGGTGGGCAGATCACAAGGTCGGAGATCGAGACCATTCTGGCTAACATGGTGAAAACCCCGTATCTACTAAAAATACAAAAAAATTAGCTGGGCGTGGTGGCGGGCGCCTGTAGTCCCAGCTGCTGGGGAGGCTGACGCAGAAGAATGGTGTGAACGTGGGAGGCGGAGCTTGCCATGAGCTGAGATCGCACCACTGCACCCCAGCCTGGGTGACAGAGCAAGACTCTGTCTCAAAAAATAATAATAATAATAATAATAAAAGAAATTACACTAACAGAAACCAGTATAAAAAAAGTGGTTATTTTCCAATCCAGTTTTCTGAGGAGCCGTGGAGATTGTTGGATGAAAAGCGTGTGTTTTCTGAGGAGCCGTGGAGATTGTTGGATGAAAAGCATGTGTTGTGAGACACGGTCGTAGCATGAGGCGAGGGTTCCACTGATGAATCTTCTCATTGGAGGAGGAATTACCACCCAGGCCTGGATGAGAGCCGGGGCTCCTGCCACGTGGAGGTGGCCCTGACTGGGTGTGAAGAAGTTCCGGACGCCTGGGTGGGAAGGTGAGCGTGGCCAGCTCAGGGGGTTTCTGCAGGATATTTTCTTTAACTTAAATTTACAAAGGTGCTTAAAATATCAAATGGTGAACCAACCAATGTTTTGATAATAAAAGTATGGTGGAACATTATTGAAGTGATTTGCCTGGGTAAGGCGTTCAGAGTGAAGACACTTCTTACATCGAAGGTGAATTCCTTCCTGTGCCGTGCGGGCCCCGCACCTCCCGGTTCTCATCAACCGCCGACTCTGCGCGCAGACCTCATGTTCAGGAAAACGTCACAAAGAACACAAACGCGGCCTTCTTAGGTTGCGGCTGCACTCAGCGGCGAACGTTTGACATGCCTCATGGGTTTGCTGCCTTCTCCCCCTTCTCCCGTCAGGGTCCTTCTGGAACTCGGCGTCTTTCCACACGGAGGCCTCCTACCTGCACTTCCCCACCTTCCATGGAGAGCTCAGCGCTGATGTGTCATTCTTTTTCAAGACGACGGCTTCCTCTGGGGTGTTTCTGGAAAACTTGGGGATCACGGACTTCATCAGCCTGGAGCTGCGCTGTGAGTGTCTGGGAAGCTCTACGGGGCACTTGTTACTTTGCTGTAAGCTCTTGGGCGGTTTTGTGTGTGAAGCACCCCCTGCCCCTGTCATCAGCTCCACCCCGACTGGTTCATTTCCAGCCCTCAGGTCTGTGAGTTCCACTCACCGCTGGTCAAAGAGACCGGCCATGTGCCGCGGCAGCACAGCTGGCAGCCCGTGGGCAGGACCTGTCTGCATTCAGCTGGGTACAAACAGGGCGTTGGGTCCCACCAGGGCGTCCACAGGGCGTTCCTGAATTCCCAGTCCCTTCGTGGCACAGACCTGCCGTGTTACGACCAATGCCCCCAACCTGCTCATCAAACTGTGTGAGGTTCAGGATGAAATTCTCCACAGACCCAGGTGGTTTAGAGTTTCTCTGCCACAGGTCATTACCTTTCCAGTTCCTTACTTAGTAAACTGAACTGTACCTTCTGAGCTTATTTATTTTCCCGTATACATAAGTTAACTTTGCCTTTTCACCCGACTCCAAAAGTCGACTCCCCGCCTGAGGGCCCCACGCCCTTGCCACCGGGGAGCCCTCCCCATGGTCCAAGCTCAGGCCCCTCCTCGGCTGCCGCTGACACTGCTTCCCTGTGGGATGTTTCCAGCCCCCGCAGAAGTGGCCTTTTCGTTCGACGTGGGAAACGGGCCCTGCGAGCTCACGGTGCAGTCGCCCACTCCCCTCAGTGACAACCGGTGGCACCTGGTCCGAGCCGAGAGGAACGTGAAGGAGGCATTGCTGCAGGTGGACCTGCTGCCCCCCAGCACCCGCCAGGCCCCCGAGGATGGACACAGGCTCTTGCAGCTCAACAGCCAGCTCTTCGTGGGTGAGTGCGAGCCGCGCTGCTGGCTTCCCAGTCCCGCGGGTGCTGTAGAGACGGCTGGAGAGGAAGCAGAGAGCAGGCGGGGTTGGGTGACAGCTGAGGCACCACTCAGGGCCGCGTCCTCACACCTGGCGGAGTGTTCCCTGGTGAGCTCATCCCCCGGGCCGCGTCCCCACTTCCGGCCGGGTGCTCGGCGGTGAGCTCATCCCCCGGGCCGCGTCCCCACTTCCGGCCGGGTGCTCGGAGGTGAGCTCATCCCCGGGGACGTGCTCGGAGGTGAGCTCATCCCCCGGGCCGCGTCCCCACTTCCGGCCGGGTGCTCGGAGGTGAGCTCATCCCCCGGGCCGCGTCCCCACTTCCGGCCGGGTGCTCGGAGGTGCGCTCATCCCCCGGGCCGCGTCCCCACTTCCGGCCGGGTGCTCGGCGGTGAGCTCATCCCCCGGGCCGCGTCCCCACTTCCGGCCGGGTGCTCGGAGGTGAGCTCATCCCCGGGGCCGCGTCCCCACTTCCGGCCGGGTGCTCGGAGGTGAGCTCATCCCCGGGGGCTCATCCCCCGGGCCGCGTCCCCACTTCCGGCCGGGTGCTCGGCGGTGAGCTCATCCCCCGGGCCGCGTCCCCACTTCCGGCCGGGTGCTTGGCGGTGAGCTCATCCCCCGGGCCGCGTCCCCACTTCCGACCGGGTGCTTGGCGGTGAGCTCATCCAGGACCGGCTCCGGGGCACTCTGCTCTGGCTGCGTCCTGCCCAGTGAATGGTGTGGCAGCCATTACCAACCACTGGTCTCTACCTGAAGGTGGACGCCCGCCCGGAAGCTGCAGCAGGTGCTCCCCTGGGTGCCCCAATACTGGGGCCAGAAGGAAACCAGGAGGGAGGTGGCCACGACCCTCTCACCTTCCTCCTGCTCCCCACCTCCTTCCCTACCCCGTCGCTTGCTCACATTTCCAGGCAAGCCAGACCCTCGGCAGCCATTTGCTGTGACTGCCCCGCAGCCTGGAGTGGGGGCCCTGGCTCCTGCCCTGGCTCACTGGTTGGTTTCGGGGCCTCCTACCCTGGCTTAAGGGTTGGTTTTGGGGTCTCCCACCCTGGTTTACTGGTTGGTTTCGGGACCTCCTACCCTGACTTATCGGTTGGTTTTGGCTTTGTGTTGTGTTGTCCACAAATGATTTTATTCTCATTTGGCTTCAAGAAGACAGAAGGATTACCCCCTCTATGACTACTACTCCGCATTTTCAAAAGAATAAAAAAACTATTTATCAGGAACTCCAATCAATGAAAAATAATCACGGACTCTTGCTGGAATCTCAGTGAGGCGGATGTTTGAACTTTTAGGATCCCCACACATTTCTATGCTTAAGCAATCATCTCTTACAAGCTTTTGCTAGTCAAAAAAAAAAAAAAAAGCAGCTTATTGTTAATTTTACAAACGTTTAATTTTAGTATTTTCTGTGTATTTTTTTTACTTTTTTGAACTATTTTAGTCTATTAAAGAGATACTTACGGAAATTTTTATGCCCAAGGCACTGTGCCGAATGCCCTAATTGAGATCGTATGGCCACATTTGAATAATGTGTGTAATATATAGTTGTATAAGTTATGAGTACCTATAAATAAAATAACACAATTTCTGCAATACTATGCGGAAAATTCATAGGGTGACTCTGCCGCCAGGACCCTGTGTTCTGAGGATGAAAAGTCTTTCAACCCCACTTAGCTGTCTCGGGTTTTTTTTTTTCTTTTCTTTTCTTTTTCTTTTTTTTTTTTTTTGGAAATGGAATCTCCCTCTGTCGCCCAGGCTGGAGTGCAGTGGTGCGATCTCTGCTCACTGCAAGCTCCGCCTCCCGGGTTCCCGAGTAGCTGGGACTACAGGTGCCCGCCATCACACCCGGCTAATTTTTTGTATTTTTTAGTAGAGACAGGGTTTCACCGTGTTAGCCAGGATGGTCTCGATCTCCTGACCTCGTGATCCGCCCGCCTCGGCCAAGCGCGGGGACTACAGGCGTGAGCCACCGCGCCAGGCCAGCTGTCTTGGTTTTTATATTTGGTGAGTTCATGGTGAATTCCTGAATCACGGACATCTGCCTTAACGCGAAATCTCAGACTGGGTCTCACATCAGCATCTCCTCTCCTGAGCCTGGCACCACAATTAAAACCATAGAAGTGGCTTTTCTACTCTGAAAAATGGAGCAGACAGGAACTGTCCTCAAACTGGCAAGTGCAGTCTGCTCTGGGCTGTGGCCGCCCACATCAGGTCCCGGGAGCTGCACCTGCGTCCACCATGCCCAGTGTCCACAGCCTTCCCAGGGCTGAGTTCAGGAGAGATTTGCTGCAAGCAGGGAAGCCCCTGCACAGCCAGTGCCTGTGAGGTCAGAGACTGGCCGCATCTGCCAGTCCCTGATGTTTTAAAACACCCTCCCAATGAGTCGAGTCTTTGAATTTCTGAATTCCCAAATGTAATCAAATCCAAGACATTTTCAGGGAGCTCTGGGGATGGAGCACTTTGCTGTGTCCAGGTACAGGGCTCCTCTCTGTGATTCTCTTCCAGGGCACTTCGGTTGTAGTTACGAACATGCACCATGCCCACACACGGAAGTATATACACACATTCACACACACACAGGCACACACACATGGAAGTATATACACACATTCACACACACACAGGCACACACGCGCACACACACAGGCACGTACACATGGAAGTATATACACATTCACACACAGGCACACACACACATTCACACACACAGTCACAAATACAGTCATTCACATGCTTACTCCCGCAAGCACTCACACACACATGCACACATACACACATGCACACACAGTATATGCATTTTGGGAGACATTTGTATGGAATCCCTTAATTTAATCTTATGTTTGTGGCTCAGTTCTTTAATGCAAATAAAATTGCAGGTATTATTTATGGGAAATTAAGTGAGCACAACACACATTTTTGAAAGGGTTGCTTTTCTCAAAATGTCATTTATTTCTCAATTATAATTATATAATCTTATATAATTATAGATGAGAGAAATTTGGGTTTGATTTCAGTAACTCAATATTTTACCTACTTTGATGAGAAAAAATAAAAGGTTGCCTCAATGCAAACAAAATGCCACAATTTCCAGATAAACCTAGCAGAGCAATTTGGTTTCTGGGTCAGTGATTCGCCAAACACTGTCTTCCAAACAGGTCCCACCTTCTCTTGACTGTATTGCTCGTTTGCACTTTTGTCTATCTTCAGGGAAGTTTACAATGTCTTTATTATATTTTTTTTTTTTTTTTTTTGAGACGGAGTCTCACTCTGTCGCCCAGGCTGGAGTGCAGTGGCCGGATCTCAGCTCACTGCAAGCTCTGCCTCCCGGGTTCACGCCATTCTCCGGCCTCAGCCTCCCGAGTAGCTGGGACTACAGGCGCCCGCCACCTCGCCCGGCTAGTTTTTTGTATTTCTTAATAGAGACGGGGTTTCACCGTGTTAGCCAGGATAGTCTCGATCTCCTGACCTCGTGATCCGCCCGTCTCTGCCTCCCAAAGTGCTGGGATTACAGGCTTGAGCCACCGCGCCCGGCCTATTATATTCTTGATAATGAGAACAAGATGGCTGAGAGGTGGGCTTCTGAGGACAGCTGGTCGGCTGCCTCCCACCTCATTCCCCAGGGTGCAGGCAGCACCTCCAAAGGAGTGTCCAGGGCCCTTCCTGGGCCACCCAGCCCACCTTTCTGGGGTCAGCTCGCCCTGGGCTCACCCAGCATTTGAGACAGCTGCTATCAGCTTCAGCCGTGAAGACCGCGGCAGCCCCTGGATGGCCAGCCCTGACTTCAGAGGCAGAATCTGGTCTAGAGTGAGATGTCTGTAGCACCAATGCTCAGAGAAATTCGAATTGTCCTTATTTGCAAGGGCGAGGGCCACAGCTCACAGTGCCTTGTGCCTCAGATACCAATTCCTCGGGAACGTTATCTACTTGCATTGAGCTGTCCTCTGTAGCTGGGACACACGCAGGTGTCATGAAGACTGTGCTGTGTTTTCAGAGTTGCTGTTGCTTTATTTTGTAATAATAGCATTTATCCGCAGACTACACAGAAGAAACATCTTCAAAAACATAAGACAACACTGAAAAGAATAGAAAGTTAACTGTTTTCTCGTGTAGCATAAAAATATGAAACGGAGGAAGTTTCACCCTCGTGTGGGATAGAAGTCACGAGATGTTACCTCTAAGAGTTCCATCAAAAAAACCACTAGTTGTCTTGTTTAGATAAGCGCTATTTTTATTTAAATTACATTCTCAATTTCACTGGGCTGTGTCAGGTATCCAGGCCCCCGTGATAGCGTGGCACTGCTGCATTTGAGGAGATTCAGACCTTTCTGAGCACCACAGTGGGCTGAGGACCTGCCGCCTTCTGGCTGGAAGCAGAGACCCACAGCAGCTGAAGGATGTGGGCCCAGCAGAGCCGCATCTGATAGACGGTGCTGGCCGGAGCAGGGTCTCTAACATAGGATACGAATTTAAGAGGTTTCTGGGGCTGGACACAGTATCCGAAGCCCATAGTTAACAAATTCTAGAAAGCCGTCCTCTGTGCCATCAAATGCCAGTGAGGAAGAATATTGTATATGTGAAAAACAATGTTGTTTTTAAGAAGTCAGATGCCCGTTGTCTCTACAAGAGAGGCTTGAATGTGGTGGACGTCGCATAATTAAATGGCACTTGCTCTTGTGGCCGCAGGTCCCCACCAACCCGGCCGGGTTTTCCCTCCTGCTCCCGCTCCAGGGTTAACAGCACGGCCTCGTGAGCTGAGTGGCCCCTCAAGGTTTCCCTCGCCTCCCCTCGTAGGTGCTTTTGTGGGGCTGGGCTGCCCCTACAAGGCAGTGCTGGGGTGTAAATGGAGGAGACGCAGGGCCCGCATGGTCTGGGCTTCCACCTCCACCGTCCTTCTCCAGTCAGGGCTGCACGGCTCATCCTGGCAGCTTCCATAGACAGGTGTCTCCGGGAAGAGGGTCAAGTCCCAGC